TGGTGAACCAGTCCTGGTAGTTGCCTCGAACGCCGGATTTGAAGGACTTGTTGACATCAACATCCAGCGGCTGGGGGATCGACGTGCAGCCCCCCGGGATGACTGCAGGCATGACCTTGAACAGGTTCAGGGTCTGCTTCACTCCCTCAGTGAGGTGGCCGTAGTAGGAGTCAAGCACCAGCATGCTATGAGGCCTGGGCTTTCCTGGTGGCGGCTTGATGTGAGGTGCCAGGACCTTCACGATCCAGTCCTTGACCAAATCCTCATCCATCCACCCTTTCAGCTGGGCCTAGATGATGACGTCTGCCACAACCAAAAACAGCAGGAAGCATCGGGAGAGAGTGGGTTATGCTAGGCGAGGATGATGATGAGTCATGCTACAACAACAAGTTATGACACATGCAAGTTACTCAGTTGGTGGCACTTGAATGTTCGGGACACCTTTCCTCTTGAACACCACATAGGCAGGGAGCATGGAGGTACGGGCGACCTCCATGACCAAGCCGATGCGGCGCTCAGCAACCCCATTCTGCTGTGGCGAGTCCGGCAACGTGTACGACTGGGTGATGCCCTCCGCACGACAGAACTGTCCAAGCCGACCAGAGGCGAACTCGCCGCCACGGTCGGAGTGGAGACACAACACGGGGAGACCGCGGTGGAGACGCGCAGCCACAACCCACGGGAGAAGAACGTCGGGCACGTCGGCCTTCCGCTCCAGGGGAAACACCGTGGTGTAGCGCGTGTAGTCGTCGACAAGCACAAGGAAGTAGCGCTCACCGCGCGGTCCAGGGACGGGGGCAGGGCCCCAAACGTCCAAGTGCAGGGTCTGAAGGGGGGCAGTAGCAGGACGCAGCGAGGAGGAGTGAGGAGCACGGCGGAGCCGACCCTCGACGCAAGGCGTGCACGGTGGCGCAGTCGAGGGAGGAAGGGCAGGGAGCGACGCGGGGAGACCTAAGACAAGACCGTGCTGGGACATGTGACGCAGACGCGGGAGAGCAGGGTGACCTAAGCGGTGGTGCCAGAGAAGGGAGGGGTGAGTGAGGGACCGACACGAGCAAGCTGCAGCGACCTGGGAGGACGCACCAACCGGGGGGGAAGCGGTGTGTAGGGTAAACAGACCGGACACCGGGTCCCGGGGGAACGTCGCAAGGGGGGAACCTGAGACAGCCTCAGAACAGACAGCGAACCGCTCGTGCCCGGGGAACGTGGTGGTGACGCCGAGGTCCTGGAGACAGCCGACACCAACCAGGTTCCTGGAGAACGAGGGAACGTGGAGGCCAGTAAGGGAGCCCGAGGGAACTGCCGGACAGGGAAGGGACGTAGAACTGCGCGCGACGACCGGACCCGCAGAGGGGTCAGCGAGAGAGACAACAGCAGGTGCAGCAAGCGGCGTGAGCGTGGAACGGTCGCGGAAGAAGCAGGCAGAAGCACCAGAGTCGAGAGTGAAGGACAGCGACGCAGTGGCGGGGGCCGGGGACGGAGCCGGTGCAGCGACTAGACTAGGCAACCTAGGCAGTCCTACGCCTGTCGCAGCAGGGGAAGCTAAGCTACACAAGGGTGAAACACCTAAACTAGAGTACACAGGGTAGTAAGATCCATCAACACTAGAAGCGTCAGCATACAAAGCATGCAAAGCAGCACCTATCTGATCCATGTCTAACTCAAAGATCGGCACGCCCTGGCGGAGCAGGCTGTGCCAGTCAGGGAGGTCCGGGGCCGGGCCAAAGCGACGACGAAAAAGATCGTCGAGGCGGCGGAAACAGCGGGCGGTCGGGTGCGGGCGGCGGCACAGAGTGCCGCGGAGAGGCCCGGTCTGAAGCTGGTACTGGCAGGTCACAGCACTGGAGCCGCTGGTAGACGCCAAGCTGCGCGGGCCGCCACCACGGCCACCGCCTCCGGAGGTGCCGGGCCAACCAGGCGGGAGACGAGCCCACGGCTGCGGCGGGTGCTGCTGGGACGGCGGCTGCGGCTGGGGCTGGTCCTGCTGCTGCTGGGACTGCTGCTCCTGCCCACCGGTGGTAGTCCCCTCAGGCGGACTACCATCACCACCACCACGACCACTACCACCTGCGTCACCACCCCTACCTCCCTGGCGGCCACGGCCACCGCGACGCGAGCGCTGCTGCGGGTGGACAGCAGCAGCCGTCTCGGTAAGAGGGGTCGCCGTGGCGACCGCAGCCGAAACGTCAGTGAACGTGCACGGGGATGGGGCACAGCCGTGAAAGATAGAGACTGCCGGCGCACCGCTCGACTGAGCGATAGTGCGCTGGCGAGTCTCGATCTCAGTGAGGGTGTCGACAAAGGCGGTCAGGGTGAGGTCACCCGGGTGCTGGCTAAGAAAGTGGTCGCGAGCACTAGCGAGGCGGTCTGGCAGGCGCATAGCGATAAAATAGAGCGTCATGCAGAAAGGAGGGGGGAGCGCAGTGAGCTGGGCAGCAGTGCTGGCAGTGCGATAGCGAGTCTCTAGGGCACGCAAATGAGTGGCAAAATCTGCGACAGTAGGGAAGGCAGCCAGGTCTGGGAACAGCATCGGAAAGAGCAAGCGGCCAGCAGAAGCGGAGGCAGGGGTGGAATATCGAGCAATAACGGCGTCTAAATAAGCTTTGGCCGTTGCAACAGTAGCAAAACGCGAGCGCTCAGACACAGGGAGGGCGTGACTAATAGCAACCTGAGCTACTGCATCGCGTGAGTCCCAGATCGCACAGGCCAGCGCAGCAGTAGAGAAAGCCTCACGGTCATCAGAGGAGGGGTCAGCAGGGAGGGGAGTAGGTGCAGGGGGACGGGGGAGCAAGCCATCAGCATGGACAACCAGAGAGTGGCCATCCCGGCGCTGACCTGTAAGCTGGCGGCGAAGATCGGAGAGCCAGGCGGCGAAGTCAACCGCGTGGCCCTCAGCGTCCAGGCGGAGCACAAAGTCAGCCATCGTGCAGGGTCAGCGGCACAGCTCCTCAGCGACACAGCGGCACAGCAGCACAGCTCCTCAACGGCACAGGAGCACAGCGGCGCGGGGACACGGCGGCAGCACTCTCCAGTAGGGCAGCAGCTAGGCGTCCCAGCGCAGGCAAGCAGAAGACACAGGGCCCGAGAGGACACGGCAGGCCGAGCAGGGGAGGCGGGCAGGTGCTCTGGGGCCGGGCTGGTGCTGGGAGGGGCCAGGCTGGTGCTGCTGGGGCCGGTCGGGCACGAGGAGGGGCCGGGCAGCGCTGAGGAGAGGCCGGGCGGCGCTAGGAAGGGGCCGGGCGGCACTAGGAGGAGGCCGGGCGGCACTAGGAGGAGGCCGAGCGGCACTAGGAGGAGGCCAGGCGGGCGAGCGCTAACAGCAGGCGCGACAGGGGCCAGCGGGCGCGACGGGGCCCAGCGGGCACGACGGGGCCCAGGGGGGGCGCGACGGGGCCGAGGAGGCGCGACGGGGACCAGCGGGCACGACGGGGCCCAGGGGGGCCGCGACGGGGCCTAACGGGCGCGACGGGGCCCAGGGGGGGCGCGACGGGGCCTAGCAGGCGCGACGGGGCCTAGGAAGCGCGAAGGGGCCCAGCGGGCGGGACGGGGCCTAGGAGGGGCGCGACGGGGCCGAACGGGCGCGACGGGGCCCAGAGGGGGGGGACGCGACGGGGCTTAGGAGGCGCGACGATTCCTAGGAGGCACGACGGGGCTCAGCGGGCTCGACGGGGCCCATGGGGGGCGCGACGGGGCCTAGGAGGCGCAACGGGGCCCAGCGGGGGCGCGTTAGGGCCTAGGGGTCGCGACGGGACCCAGCGGGCGCGACGGGGCCTAGGGGGAGCGCGACGGGGCCTAGGAGGCGCGACGGGGCCCAGCGGGCACGACGGGGCCCAGGGGGGGCGCGACGGGGCCTAACGAGCGCGACGGGGCCCAGGGGGGGCGCGACGGGGCCTAGGGGGCGCGACGGGGCCTAGGAGGCGCGACGGGCGGAAGCGGTAGGCGGGGGGATCCTAACCTAAGCGTGATACCATGTTAACGTAGAAACGAATGATTACTAGAGGTGGAAACCTAGAACAAATACTAGTTGGTTGTACTCACTAGAAGCATACCTCAGTCTAGCCTATAACTTCTACATAGATAATATGTATAAGTTGACAACACGGAGGCGCGGAACGAGGAGTGTGCCGAACACCTGGACGGAGTCGTCGAGCTGTTTCGTGCCACCGACCGAGCGGAGATCCTGCCAGGTAAGGTCATGTGCATGTATCATCCCACTGTATGCATGTTTTGCTGTGCTCTTGATGTTGTTGCCTGAGTTACTGACGGATTTCTATGTTTTCCGTGAAACTGTTCATGTGTGGCAGGTGTCGACAAGCGGTTGGCGCGGAAGGAGCTTGGTACCCTCCTTCCCGTGCTTGCTGGTGTACCAAAGGACGAGCAGCCCTTCCATGCTGGTCTTGCCGCCATCCTCGAGACCAGTGACTGGCCGCGCAGCTACCCCAACCTTGTGCGATTGTGGGTGGCTGTGGCTGTACTTCCCCTCAGCACTGTCGAGTGCGAGAGGGGATTCTCGCGTCAGAATGTCATCAAAAGTTGGAATCGCACGAGTCTCCGCAATGGGAAGCTGGAGGATCTGAAGTGTATGAGTTTGCTGGATTTTGAGATGAAGAGGATGAGGTCATTGACGTGTGGCGTGGCCTCAAGAAACGCAGATCGAGGAGAGCCTTTCAGAAGGAAGTACGCCCCAAGAAGACGGCCAAGGGCAAGGAGAAGGTGATAGACTGTCTGAGGAGGAGGACCGTGAACTAGAGGAGGACCGCTGTGCTAGCAGTGGGTTTACATCCAGTGATGATGATGATGGGAACTTCTAGTGTTAGAGCTTTGTATTGCTGCTGTTACTGCTGCTGATGCAGCTAAGTGACCTTGAGCCACATTTCAGGCAATTTATAAATTTACCCTGAGGTGACAGTTTGTACCTAGAAAACAACCCTGACTAATCAGTGTGAGCCATGGCGTTCAGCCCTGACTGCTGCACGCTTCTTTGGGGGCATGCTCTGAGCCGTCAGGATGCCCAAAATCCTATCTGAGGCCCTGGGCCTTTTCATCAGGGTTGGTACAAGTAAACACCCTGGAAAAAGGTGCAAAAAGTGTAAAAACTCTGATACCGTAGGGCATGATCAGAATCAATATTGCCAATATAGTGCTGATGCTACTTCATGGGCTCCCTTAGTACAAAAAATGCTCCAAAACGTCTGTGCTAACAGGGCGTTTCACCCAGCTAATCTGGAGCCTGGGTGCATGTTGGTAGGCCGAGGCGGGCGTTGACGGTCAGAGCTCGCTCTCGAGGAGGTCGTGCAGCACATGGGGCGCGGGCTGCGTGATGTTGTTGAGCGCCACGTAGAAGTCCATGGCGTAGATGCCCTTCACCGCCTCGTACGTGTCCTGCAGTATGGCAATGGGAGGGAAGCAGCTTCTGAACTATGAAGAAAAATTCAAGTCGAAGGCTGACCTCTAGCCAAGCTGGAAGCATAACCCGCTTCAAGCTTAGGTCGCTGCAAGCATGTGGAGCTTGGCATTTCCTCATCCAAGATGGTGCCGCATGGCCATGTCCTTGTCTCCAAGTCGCTGTTGGTATCTGGCCCACATTTTCCCCAAACTCCTCCCTCGGGCTGCCCCCTCTGCCCCTCTGCCCTGCTGGGTCTTGGAGCCCGTCGCCCATGCGGTGTGTGTGATGCAACCCAGGCGGCACTATTCGCCCTTCTGCTGTTGGCCATCCCTGCATTGGCCTGCTCGATCTCCCTTCAAACCCCTCACCCATGTAATCTAAGGATACCCAATGAGCTCGCTTGAGAAGAGAATCGAGTAAACATCTTTCACTCTCAGCAACACCAGCAAACAACTGTGCAGCCACGCAGGCCCCACCTTGTCGTAGAGCCGGGCAAGGCTGGCATCAGCATCAGCGGCCTTCCCCGTGCCGTCCGCCTCAAACACCTCCAGATGCCCTGCGCCATCCCCGTGCCCCGCCGCGCCCACCCGCTCCACCACGGCCCGGGCATCCTCCTGCAGGCTCTCTATGCGCCCCACGAAGTCATACTTGATGGCTGACAGCGCACACACGTCCACCTGGTGGGCGAGGGGGCGGGAACGGTGGTGGCAGTTGAAGTCGCATGGGAAGGGGAGGTGGCGCTGATAGGACGGCAGGGAGAGGAGGGAGAGCATGGCGCCACATGCAGAATAGAAACAGCAGGCACGGGAATCACTGCGCCTCACATGACAGGCGATAATCCCACCTGGGGGGCGATGATCCCACCTGGGGAGCAACGAGCCCAGCTGAGGGGCAGGTCTGACCTGCGGGGCGATGTGTGAGTCCATGGAGGCGCGGCTGTGGTCCATGAGGCGCCCCACCAGGCGCACGAAGGACGGGAAGGAGATCTGGCCCTCGCCGTCCCTCACGGCGTCCAGGATGGGGCGCACGGAGCGGAACAGCACCTGCTAGTGCCATGCGAGGGGAGGGTGGGTGTAGGTGGAGTGAGTGAGAGGCAAGTCTGGGTGGAGTGAGTGAGAGGCAAGTCTGGGTGGAGTGAGTGAGAGGCAAGTCTGGGTGGAGTGAGGGAGAGGCAAGTCTGGGTGGAGTGAGGGAGAGGCAAGTCTGGGTGGAGTGAGGGAGAGGCAAGAGGGAGAGGATCCACGGGGGAACAGAGCGGCACGAGAATGGATTGCTCTTGCAATCCACACCTTCTCCCTCCCACACCCCAAGGCCCAACTCCACCGTCCCTGCCCACATCTCTACTGCCCAACCCCACCGTCCCTGCCCACATCTTTACTGCCCAACCCCACCGTCCGTGCCCCCTCCCCTCGCTCACGTTGCTCCAGTGGTCGCGCGAGGCGGCCCCTGTGCTCTTGGCGGGGGACAGCACGGTGGCGTGGAAGGTGGAGGCGAGGCGCGAGAAGGGGTTGCGCACAAAGGTGAAGCGCAGCAGGTCCGGGCGCGTGATCACGCGCACCTGGGGGGGGGAGCGGCGGTGGGTGTGAGGGAGGGGGGTGGGGGAGGGTGATTCAGGGGCTTTTTAAAAGTACGGGAGATGGTGAGTGAGGTGATTGAGAAGGACGCTGGGAGAAAGTGAGCGAAGCATGAAGATAGCGGTGCAGCAGAGTGCAGCAGAGTGCAGCAGAGTGCAGCAGAGTGCAGCAGAGTGCAGCAGAGGGGAGAGGGAGGGAGAGCCGGAGATAGATTGAGGGGGGAGGCGACGAGGGAAAGGTGGTGGTGGAGGAGGAGGTGTGGGGGCAGGGGGAGAGTGGGGAGGTGGTTGGCAAGTGAGGCAGTTAAAGAGGGGCGGGCGAGCTTGGTGGATCGCATGGGCCAGGGTGAAGAGAGCAGGGGAGCGCGGGAGGGCGGTGCGAGGGCATGGCGGGCGGCACGGACGGCGTGGGCCTCGGAGAAGTGCAGCGCCAGCTCGTGCAGCCCGCCCTCGCGGTCGTCCACCGCCAGCTGGGGGTCGCCTGGCGACGGCAGCCCCAGCCTGGCGCGCAGCCACATGAGCCACGCCGTGGACGCCAGCCCCGGCACGCCACAGTACATCACGCCCAGGCGCTCTGCAGGGCGATTGGGGAGGGCGGGAGGGGAAGGAGGGAGAGAAAGAGGCGGCATGGGGATTGGCGAGTGACTGAGTGAATGGCGATTTGAAAACAAATGCAGGAGGAGGAGGTAGGGACCACATGGAAATGCATAGACTGGCAAACCAAACCACAACTGATAAGACCGTGAAGATGCAGATACTCTGGCCAATAACCACCAAGCACACCATTGAAGCTCCTTCAACAAGCAGCCACCCCCCCCCCCCCCACCTTCGACGATGGTGTACTTGGCGAACTTGAGCTGCGTGATGGGCCGCAGCGCCACCGAATCGCACACGGCGCGCTGCACGCGGAAGAGCTCGCTGGCCGCGCTGCCGTGCGCCGCGATGAAGCGCGCCTCGGCGGACGAGGAGTTGACGGCGATGAGGCCGCGCGTGCGCGCCAGGGAGAAGAGCTCCGCCACCTGCAGGCGGGGGGAGGAAAGAGGAGGCGAAGGGAGGGGGCGAGGAGGGGAGACGCAGTGGGGAGTGGTGGGGAATGGGGATGGGCAGGCAGGGGGATAGGAAAGGAGGGGATGGGAAGGCTGAAACACGCAAAAGCGGAAAAGTGGAGATGGCAGGTGGAGCCTTGTGAAAGCTTGGACGAGAAGAGGCGCAATTGCAAGCAAGGACGCCCACAGCAGGGTCGGCAGATGTGCGTGCATGCCAGGTAGGTGCTTGCACCTACCTCCCCAGCACAAAGGGCAAGCATCAGCGCACACAGCGACTACTCACATGTCCACGCAACTGACCATGCAGGTAGGCAATCTCATGCTTCTCCGGGCATGCAGTGCACCCATTACCCGTGCATGCAGTGCACCCATTACCCGTGCATGCAGTGCACCCATTACCCGTGCATGCAGTGCACCCATAGCCCGTGCATGCAGTGCAGCCATTACCCATGCATGCAGTGCAGTGCAGCCATTACCCGTGCATGCACTGCAGCCATTACCCGTGCATGCAGTGCACCCATCACCCGTGCATGCAGTGCAGCCATTACCCGTGCATGCACTGCAGCCATTGCCCGTGCATGCACTGCAGCCATTACCCGTGCATGCAGTGCACCCATCACCCGTGCATGCAGTGCACCCATCACCCATGCATGCAGTGCAGCCATTACCCATGCATGCAGTGCAGCCATTACCCGTGCATGCAGTGCAGCCATCAGCCATCACCCATTACCCGTGCATGGAGGCACAGCAGCAGCTGGTCCGGTGTGACGCGGTTGTTGAACGGCAGCAGCACCGCCGCCTCCTCCTCGCCCGCACCACCACCACCACCACCACCACCATCGCCGCCCGTGCCGCCGCCCACCCCGGCCACCTGCACTGCCTGCGCGCCCTCTCCACTGCTCAATGCGGGTCCCAGCCCCGGCCCGGCGGCGGCGGTGACGTGCTCCCCAAAGGGGCAGGTGGCGGCGCGCAGCAGCGTGGCGTGCAGCACGGCGGGCGCACGCGCGGGGTGGAAGAAGTCGGCGACGGCGGCGGTGTGGTGGGGGTTGGGCGCCGCGAGGGTGAAGCCCTTGGAGGGGTCCTTGAGGAAGCTCATGGTGAGGCGCCGCATGACACAGTCGGGGGCAGACGACCCGTTGCCCGCCGGGCACCCACTGCACCCGGGGGCTGCCAGGGTCTGAGTGGGGACGGGGGAGGGGGCGGGTGGGCAATCATGACAGGACCATGGGGGGGGAGGGTACGTACGGACTGTAGCATTAAGGGAAGAGCCAGGCTGCTCCTCTTGCAATAGAGGAAGCTGAGGAGCCATGAGCGGTACGGAGTGATGATGAGAGCGGAGAGGAGGACGGAGTGCATGGCAGCGGCACAACGAATCATGGCGCCCCACCACCCTCACTCCCCCCTCCCTCCTTCCCACCCACCATCAAGTCTCTCGCCATCACTCCCTCTGCCTTCCCAACCAAGCCCTGTAGGCCCCCCCCTGTCCGCTCACACCCACAACCACACCCCCCTCCCTCCCTCCCTGCCTCCCTCCTCCCCCCCCCCTCACGTCAACGAGCACGCCGTAGCTGGCGTGAAGGCGCGGCTGGTCCTCGCGCTCCACCAGCTGCAGCACGGCCGGCGCCGGGTGCAGCGCCGCCAGGCACGCCGCCATGGCGCGCTCAAACGCACACGCGTCCGCCAGGGACTGGGGGGGGAGGTGAGGGGGGGAGAGGTGAGGGGGGGAGAGGTGAGGGGGGAGAGGTGAGGGGGGAGACGTGAGGGGGGAGAGGTGAGAGGGGGAGAGGTGAGGGGGGAGAGGTGAGGGGGGAGACGTGAGGGGGGAGAGGTGAGGGGGGGAGAGGTGAGGGGGGGAGAGGTGACGGGGGGGAGAGGTGACGGGGGAAGTGGAAGGGATGGGTGACACATGGAGGTGGGGGTGGCAGGAGGTGAATGGGCGATGCAGTGGTCTGAATGGGCGATGCAGTGGTCTGAATGGGCGATGCAGTGGTCTGAATGGCGCAAGGAATCCAGAGAAACGCCGGAAACATACTCACAGACGACACTTGCGAAATAATAAGGTAGAGTAACCAAGCAACCATGCCTCCCCACTCCCATGCCCGCCACTCTCGTCGCCTCACCAGCTCCAGCCCAGCCCCTCACCAGCCCAGCCCATGCCCCTCACCAGCCCCAGCCAGTTGACGGCGTCGGGCGACAGGAAGAGCTCAAACGCCGTACCATCCGCCCTGCCGCCCGCACCACTGCCCGCAGCCGACACGCCCTGGGTGCCGGGCGTGGCGCCCTGGGGACACGTGGGCACCGCCACCTGCCCTCGTGGGGGGGGGAGGTGAGGGAGGGGGAAGGGTGGGGTGAGATGCGAGGTGAGGGGAAGGGGGAGGAGAAGGGGAAGTGGTGGGGCAGTTGGGATGCAAGGAAGGATAGACGGGCGAGGAAGGGCGAGGAAGGGCGAGGAAGGGCGAGGAAGGGCGAGGAAGGTTGAGGAAGGGCGAGGAAGGGCGAGGAAGGTTGAGGAAGGGCGAGGAAGGTCGAGGAAGGGCGAGGACAGCGTTGGCTGGGCGGGCAAGAGAGGCTGGTGGGCAAGAGAGGCTGGTGGGCTGAGATGCTAAAAACAGCAACGCCAGCCAACGTCACAATGTGCCAGTCCCTCTACCCAAGTGTAGGAAGAGGAAAAGAAAAGAGGAAAAGAAAAGAGGAAAAGAAAAGAGGAAAAGAAAAGAGGAAAAGAAAAGAGGAAAAGAAAAGAGGAAAAGAAAAGAGGAAAAGAAAAGAGGAAAAGAAAAGAGGAAAAGAAAAGAGGAAAAGAAAAGAGGAAAAGAAAAGAGGAAAAGAAAAGAGGAAAAGAAAAGAGGAAAAGAAAAGAGGAAAAGAAAAGAGGAAAAGAAAAGAGGAAAAGAAAAGAGGAAAAGAAAAGAGGAAAAGAAAAGAGGAAAAGAAAAGAGGAAAAGAAAAGAGGAAAAGAAAAGAGGAAAAGAAAAGAGGAAAAGAAAAGAGGAAAAGAAAAGAGGAAAAGAAAAGAGGGGACATCACAGTGGGCGAGAGGGGAGGACATGGCAGATGGCAGGCAGGCAGGCGTCGTGATGGGGCTGGGGCTGGGGGAAAACGGTTGAGGGAAGAGCCGTGGGAATCTTTGTGCAGAGTCAACTTTGGAGGAGAGGTTATTGCGGGGGAGATGTGAGTGTGGGGGAGATGTCACTGCAGGGGAGATGTGAGTGCGGGGGAGATGTGAGAGCGGGGCGAGGAGACAGCGCTTTGAGGGAGGAGTGGAGGAAGGAGGGAGAGAGGGAGCGGGGTGCACCTGTCGTCTGGCCAGGTTGAGTCCCTTCTTCCACACGCCGCCCGGCAGCGCTGACTCCCGCACCCACACGCGCCTCTCCGGCCCGCCTATGAACACGCTCTCCCCGCTGCTGCCGCTACCACCACCCGCACTCTCGTTGCCAGCAGCCGTGCCACTCGCTGCGCCCCCACCGCTGTCCGCCGCCACGCCGCCGTCAGCGGGTGGCGAGGGCGGGGCAGGAGGGGTGAGGGAGAAGAGGTGCGAGAAGCGCACGTGCGGCATGTGGCGGTCGGAGGGCCACACGGCGAGCGTGAGCAGGCTGGTGAGCGCGCTCATGGCGGACGCCGCACACACCGCGTGCAGCCGCGCGCCCAGGTCACCCTGGGGGGAAGAGAGAGGGGGGGGAGGGGGACATAGGGGTTGGGGAGAAGGGGTGGGGTGGTGAGAAAACGAGTGAGGAGTGAAGGGTTGCGTGAGAAGGAGAGCGAGTGCGGAGGAAAGGCACACGTGTTTTTTCCTCTTCCCCAACCCCCTTCCCCCCCCCCAAACTCCCCCCCCCTCCACCCCCCCTCTCCCCTTCCTTCAGTGCGCCTGAGAACCTTCTCCCCCCACCCCTCCTGCGCCCGGTGTAAGCCTCGCTTGTCATGTGTGGGTTGGATGCGGTGTGGGAGAGAGGAGGTGAGTGAACGAGGGAAGGCAGGGAGTAGATGGGAGGCGGAGCAGAAGAATGGGAGGTGAGAAGAATGGGAGGTGAGAAGAATGGGAGGTGAGGCGGACGGCAAGACGGAGGTGTGGCGGAGCTGAGTTTACATCTGCAACGACTACAGCGTCCACGCGATCGCAGCCGTTGGATTTCGCCCCTGGAGCGCATCCACGGCTCATCTTGGTCTCCAGCGTCCACAGATCATCCGGGCCGTCATCTCCGCCGTCTCCATCATCGAGGTCGTCAAACAGAAGGCCAACGCGCGGCCGCAAGCCCGCGTCGTCGTCCTCGTCATAGTCGGTCGCGACATCGAGCGCAACGAGCGCCAGCACGAGCAACGCCCCCGCGGCCGCCACTCGCCTCCACCCGCACGGCGCGCATCGCAGCGACGCCATGCGCCGCCCCATGGCGGAACCGACGTCTACTGCGCGGAGTGCGGTATAGATGGGTTCCGCGCGGTGCGGCGGTCAGTGCGGCATGCAGCATGGTCGAATTAACGGTGCTTTGCGACACACCATGGCATCGAGCGCGCTGTTACCGGCGTCGCATGGACCTGCCGCTGCGCGAGCGATGTGCCGCCTGCTGTGACGCACTCGATGCGACGACAAGCTGTCTCTCTGCGATCTTTGGGTCGTCGGAATCGTCTGTCGTCAATCGTGTTCTGCCACAGACCTCTCTCGGGGCGCTCGAGTGGAGAAAGCGGCAAGACGCGGGCGACGAGAAAGGGTAAGAGGATGGAACGAGGCGACGCGGGAACTATGGTAGGTCGCTAGAATGGGCGAGTGGCGGGGATGAGCTCCTGGCGGTGGACAAATGCGATTGAGGTATGAGTGACAGGCGCGGACAAATCGGAGGCAAGATTCCACTCGAGGCCGTCAGATTCGGGTGTCAGTGTGTGGCGTTTGTGAAAGGAATTTTCCATTCCTTAGCGCGCCACACCGCTAACGCGTACACCGAACCCACACGGCACCCACACCCGACCTAGCTTCGTCCCGAACACGGCACCGAACCATTTCCGCGCCACTCCGAAGCTCTCCGCGTCCTCGGATGCCTTCTTCGAACCTGTTGGATCGCACGGCTAAGATTGCTCTAGTGTTCCTATATCTTGCTTCGTCATTCCATTGTACCACATTCTGGTATTCTGAATCTCGACATTCGATTCCGCGCTACTCAGTTTGAACACCCATAACATCTGGTATTCAGAGCTACTTTCCTTAACCCGCTTCCGTAGGCGGAAAACATTTTCCGGGAGGGGAGTGATTCGCTCACTGAGCTGCAAAGCGGTCGGCCGCGAATTAGACGAGTTAATTCGCCCGACTACGATACCGTTTGCGCTCTTACCTGAGCACGGGTAATCACGGATATTCCCCTGCCCACCCAGTGTAGTGTCCGCCACATGGACCAGTCACAGTTGGGCGAGTTGTTGGCGAAATTCGTCGTCACGGACGCTCACCTGCAAGCTGTGTTAAACGACAACGAGAAGCTACGCACTGAAGTTACCGTACTGTCAAGATTATATAAGTTATATAATTGATAGGCTTGATTGTTGTTACTGAACCTTTCTGTAGAGGGTACAATCCCATCCTTGTACTCCTCTCTCTTCCTAATCGAACTCTCTTCTCTCTCGACACTCTCCCTTACCTTCTAGCTAAACCCCGCCGCCATTTTCATGGCGGCCTTCTTAGCTTCCTAGTGGCTGCCTACCTACGTTCCTTCATCCCAGCTACCTAGCTAGTGTCCTAAGCTTCTTTAAGACGTACTTCGTCAGGCGAAGTTGCATTTGTCCGATTGCCTGAATTTGGAAGTTGCATCTCATATTAAGAAGACACTTCATGAGTTAAGTCTTACACAATCGTTTAGTTTCTACAAGGAATACATGGTTGAAGGTTCCTATTGCTTGGTTGGTTGTGTTGTGATAAATTCATACTTCAGCATTTCTTTAAGTAGTTCCGATAGATATTCTCCAGTTACACTCTAATTACCATCCGTAGGATAACGTCTGCAAAGGGCGCTCGTCTGCATGAATACGTCACTAGGTCGTTTCAGTCACGCGAACAGTCGCACCCCTTGTTAGAATGGAAGAATAGACAAAAAGGGAGAGTACGAGGTAATATACAGTAACATAGAAGCTGTACCCTCTAAGACACAAACCTATACAGTCTATACAAACATAACAATATATATTTGACACACTCCCTAGACTGTATAGGAGCAGTTCCTAACGAGAGAACGAGCAGCTTAGGGTGGCACTACTAGTCCGACCTCTGAGGCAAGGGTCTAAAGACCAGTCAAACGAGTACAAACACAAGCCAAAAGCAAAACCAGGGCGGCACTACTAGTCCAGCCACTGGAAGAGGCCACAAGGCCAGTCAGAATAAAATATATAAAAGGTCTGTACACAGTCAAGGCCCTAGCAAGTGAGAGGCTACGCGAACAAGACCTAGCCATACACAGTGCCAGTGATGATCTTTAGGCGCAAGCGCCTTCGTAAAGATATCAGCCGTGTTGGCACCGGAGGCCAAGTGTACTACGAGAGCCTGGCGGCGCTGCTGTACCTCACGCAGGAGGAAGTACCGCAGCGAGATGTGCTTCGCCCTGCCCTCGAGTCGCAGCTCTTGACACAGGAGGATCATGGCCCTGTTGTCAGCGTACAGGACCGGGGCAGAGCTAGGCCGCTCACCTAAGTCAGTGAGCAAGAAGGTCAGCCAGCGGAGCTTCTGTGCCGCCATGGAACCGGCATAGATCTTGGCCTCACAGCTAGACTGGGCAACAGACGAGGAGCGAGTAGCTCTCCACGAGACAGCACCTGAACCAAGGCTTAAGCAGTAGCCCTGCGTGGACCTAAGGGTCTCGGCAACGTCGGCCCAAGAAGCGTCTATGTGCCCAGTAAGGACCACTGGCCTGCGCCCTCCTAGCACTAACCCCATGCCCGATGTACTTGCAAGATAAGGCAAAACCCTCATAGCAGCAGACCAGTGCTGAGGTCGGTGTCTGCCTCTGGCCACAAAGCGAGCCAAGATGCTGAGAGGGTATGCAAGATCTGGGCGAGTGCAAGTCATCAGGTACATGAGGCAACCCACCAGCTCTGCATAAGGACCACTGGGCTCTACTGACTTCTCAGGAACTAGAGCAGATAGCCTGTGGTCTACAGGCAGAGGGGTGGGCTGTGCAAAGGAGAACTGAAGGCCGAACCTCTGAAGGAACTGGCGCACCAAGTGTGTCTGAGTGAGGGTGATGGTGCGCGCTGCTCTGTCCCTGGAGATCTGCAAGCCAAGGTAGTAATGCAGTTCTCCAGGGTCAGTGCAGGTGTGTCTCTTCAGCAGCTCTGCCTTCACCAAGGCCAGTGCGTCCCTGTCTGCAGTGGCGAAGACGAGGTCGTCTTCGTAAACAAGGATGTAGAATGGAGTCTGGCCAGCACGAAGGAAGAGCGAGGGGTCTGCAGAGGACGGAAAGAACTGCAGATCAGCAAGGGTAGCACGCAGCGTATCGTGCCACTCATGGGGAGCCTGCCGCAGGCCGTAGACGGGGCGCCGCAGGAGCCACTGGGTCCCAGGAGGGAAGGTACCAATGATAACCTGACGGCGGCGCAGGTAGACCTGCTTGTGTAGACTGCCCTAAAGAAACGCAGTGGAGAAGTCGAGGGAGTGAAGCTCGTAGTCACGCTGAGCTGCTTCGTGTAGCATCACCCAAAGAGTAGTCATCTTCGGGGTCGCAGCGAAAGTCTGAAAGAATTCCACCCCCTCACGCTGACTGAAGCCTCTAGCCACGTAGCGCGCCATAAATACTGGCGGCTCTCCTGGAGGGCACTTCACCTTGAAGAGCCAGCGGCCATCGACTAACGTTCACCCCAGGTAGAGGAACTGCGTCGATGTAGGTGCCGGTGGATCTCCAAGATGCCATCTCTGCTCCATGGCAGCTATCCACTGAGAGGCCCAAGGTCCCGAGACCGCCTCAGCGTAAGTGCGAGGGGTCGGGATGTCAAAAGCGACAAGGTCACCCTCAGGGACTAGCAGCATGGAACAGAGATGGGGAGAAGCCTCGGACAGGAAAGCAAGCTCGTACTGGCGGTCCTCCAGGACGTCACTGGAGAGGGCAGGAGCACCCCCGACAGACTTAGGACAGGCAGGGTCGGAGACCTGAGCGGTGGCGTAGTCAATGCAGCGGGTAGAGGCTAAGTTAGCGACCGCAGCGACAAGAGCGACAAGACGCAAAACTGGAACAGACGGGTCGGTAATGAGAGAGGCAAGGACTCGAGGAAAAAGAGGATGAGCGGCACGAAGGTAGTCAGACAGAGGGGGAGGCGCAACAACAAGGGAGGACGGAGCAGGCGACGGCAGGAGGGGAGGACGAGATGCGTGGGAACGAATCAACATAGGGTGAGAGCGCGGGACAGGGGAGACAAGGCGAGCACGGGAGGGACGGCGAGAACAGACGTGAGACGGAGGAATCGGGTCAGGAGACAGAGTAGGGGACACCGGAGGGGAACGAGGGGGAAGACGAGCCGGGGTCGAGTCCGGGGGAGGGAACACAGGGCCGTAGACAGGGAGAGGAGGAGACGACGGGGGAGGCGCAGACGCAGGGTCAGGGGATGGAAGGCCAAGCAGGCGAAGGGCGGACACCGGCGGTGACTACTGCTGCGGTGGCACGGCACCAACTCGGGGACCGCAAGTTGCTCCTCGGCTACCTCCGGAACACTCCACTCCTGCACCCCCAGAAGGAACCCCCCCAGAGCCCGAAGTCCCTCGAGCACCGGTACCACCCCCATGCCCGCCAGGACAAGCCACGATAGGAACCCCAGTACTCGGACTCACCCGAACGCCATAACCCCCAAAGTCAACGAACTGCTGCTGCGTTGGCTGCGGCGACGGCGACTGCAACGACGGCTGCGGCGGCGGTGACGGCGGTGACGTCAGCTGCGAGAGCGGTGGCGACGGCTGCTGCGGAGGCGGCAGAGGAGGAGACACCTGAGAAGGGGTAGGCGGCAAGGACTGCGCCGCAGGACCACCAGAGTCAGCAGACTCCTCAACCGGGACAACCGACGTGAGGGGGGTGACGTGGGACACACCAGACGGTGAAGGACGGGAAGGGGGAGGGGGAGGGGCAGGGGCCACCGGGGACGGGGGGACCAGGAACAGGGCGGGAGTAACCGGGGGACCACGGTGGGGGAAGAGATGGTAGAAGGAGACGGACTCATCAAATGTGACGTCGCGGTAGTGAAAGAACCGGTGAGACTGCGGGTGGTAGAAATGCCAGTCGGAAGAGTCTACGGGGAAACCGAGGAAGACACTGGGGAGGGTGTGGGCAGTGAGCTTGTCCATGCTAGAGGCACAAACGTGAGCAAGGCAGCCCCAGATGTGGAACGCAGACGCATCACCAGGAGACCTGGTCCAGAGGAGGGTCGGCGAAACCTGCGGCTGCTGGGGGTGCGGCCACATGTTGAGCTGGTGAGCGGCGAGTGAACGACGAACAGCCACAGAAAATGGGGTGCATCGGCATGGATCATGGAGGTTCGAGCCACCTCCACGACCAAACCGATGTGTCGCTCAGCGACCCCATTCTGCTGCGGGGAGTCCGGCAAGGTGAACGTCTGTGTGATGCCTCCGCACGACAGATTCGACCAAGAACGCCGGAGGCAAACTCGCCACCACGGTCGACACAAGACAAGACAGAGTGGAGACACGGTCTGGGTGGAGACGCAAGACAGGGAGACCGCGGTGGACACGCGCAGAGACAAGCCACGGGATGAGAACGCCAGGCACGTCGGCCTTCCGCTCAAGGGGAAAGACGGTTGTGTAGCAGGTGTAGTCATCGACAAGCATTAGGAAGTAGCGCT